CCCGCGTGTCGCGGTCCCCGGGCGCGGCTGTCACCTCTCCGCACGGCTCTCGCGGGCACTGCGCACGGCCGGCCGCGCTCGCCACGAGGGCCCCCAGCTCGCCACGGCCCAGCCGGCCCTCGCCCGACGCCAGCAGCGCCTGCAGGGCCAGCAGGGCCCCCCCGGGCTGGCCCCGGGCCGGTGACCCCCGGGGCCGGGCCAGCGCGGGCGGCACGGCCGGGGCCAGCGGCAGCAGCAGCAGCAGCGGCAGCAGGCACGGCGCGGGCATGGTGGCACCGGCGGTGGCACCGGGGTGACAGCGGCGGTGGCACCGGGGTGACAGCGGTGGGGACAGCGGGGCTGTAAAACCCGCCCGGGCTCGCGGCCCTGATTGGCCCGGGCTGAGATTGGGCCGGGTTAACGATTCATTCACCCCGCGGGGCCCGGCCCGCACCCCCGGCACGGACCGGGACACACGGGGACAGTCGGGGACACCCCTGGGACAGACGGGGACACCCCTGGGGACAGACAGGGACACCCCTGGGACAGACAGGGACACACGGGGACAGACAGGGACACACCGGGACACCCCTGGGGACAGACAGGGACACCCCTGGGACAGACAGGGACACCCCTGGGACAGACAGGGACACCCCTGGGACAGACGGGGACACCCCTGGGGACAGACAGGGACACCCCTGGGACAGACGGGGACACACCGGGACACCCCTGGGACAGACGGGGACACCCCTGGGGACAGACAGGGACACACCTGGGACAGACGGGGACACACGGGGACAGACAGGGACACACCGGGACACCCCTGGGACAGACAGGGACACCCCTGGGACAGACAGGGACACACGGGGACAGACAGGGACACACCGGGACACATGGGGACAGACGGGGACACCCCTGGGGACAGACGGGGACACCCCTGGGACAGACAGGGACACACCGGGACACCGCTGGGACAGACGGGGACACCCCTGGGGACAGACAGGGACACACCGGGACACCCCTGGGACAGAGGGGGACACCCCTGGGGACAGACGGGGACACACCGGGACACCCCTGGGGACAGACAGGGACACCCCTGGGACACCCCCAGTCCATACCTGGGGTGCTCGGCTGGGCTTGGGGTCACCTGTGGGTGTCACCATTGTGACCTCAGTGTCACCTCTGGGTGCCAGGGTCACCTGTGGGTGTCACCTCTGGGTGCTGTGGTCACCTCTGGGTGTCACCGCTGTGACCTCAGTGTCACCTCTGGGTGCTGTGGTCACCTCTGGGTGTCACCTCTGGGTGCTGTGGTCACCTGTGGGTGTCACTGCTGTGATCCTGGTGACACCTCTGGGTGCCAGGGTCACCTCTGGGTGTCACCTCTGGGTGCCGGGGTCACCTGTGGGTGTCACTGCTGTGACCTCAGTGTCACCTCTGGGTGCCGGGGTCACCTGTGGGTGTCACTGCTGTGATCCTGGTGACACCTCTGGGTGCCAGGGTCACCTCTGGGTGTCACCTCTGGGTGCTGTGGTCACCTGTGGGTGTCACCTCTGGGTGCTGCGCTGTCCCCACAGCCCACCCAGGACAGGGGCACAGGTGACACAGGTGGCACAGGTGGCACTCACAGAACGTCACCAGTGTCCCCTGTGTGTCACACCTGTGTGTCACCTGTGTCACCCCTGTGTCACCTGTGCGGTGCTGCCAGGCTGGATTTTGTCCCCAGGGCCAGCCCCTCTCTCCACACGGCCCAGGGCCGCTGTCACCTGGGGCCACACCCTCGGGGACACCTGGGGGTGCTGGGGACACCTGGGGGTGTGGGGACACCTGGGTGCTGCTGTCACCTGTGGCTGTGTGTCCCTGTGTCCGTGTGTCCCCATGTCCATCCCAGTGTCCATCCCAGTGTCCCCATGGCCATGTCCCTGTGTCCCCATGTCCCTCCTGATGTCCCCATGTCCCTCCTGATGTCCCCATGTCCATCCCGGTGTCCCCATGTCCCTCCCGATGTCCCCATGTCCCTCCTGTCCCTCCTGTCCCTCCCTATGTCCCTCCCCATGTCCCTCCCGGTGTCCCCATGTCCATCCCAGTGTCCATCCCAGTGTCCCCATGTCCATCCCAGTGTCCATCCCAGTGTCCCCATGTCCCTCCCGGTGTCCCCATGTCCCTCCCGGTGTCCATCCCAGTGTCCCCATGTCCCTCCTGTCCCTCCCCATGTCCCTCCCGGTGTCCCCATGTCCATCCCAGTGTCCCCATGTCCCTCCCAGTGTCCATCCC